AATTTCCTGATTTTTGCAGTGAACCATAAAGGGCGTCCAAATGTTAGTTACGAGTATCATCTTTAATTATCGACAAAATTTTCAGCCAACTTTTCAAAATTGAATTATATTTGATGGACACTTTTAATTAATAAATGCACTGAATCAAACAATTGAATATAAGTTTCTTGTGTAAGAAAATTCATGTTGAAGTTATGAACAGTGATGAATAGTTATGCACTTGTTTGCCACACTTCTTCTGTGATCAAGTTATATTTGTTGGAAATAATCTTTTTCTTTCGTACTAACATCTTGATATGTATACATTTTTTCAAAATTAGAGCATGCATTATAAATCCTCAATAATATCATCTTTTTATGTATATTTTTCACACATTTCCTAGAATTTTTCTTCAGACGATATGGATTGTCCTGTATCGAAAATGACTCTCATTCGAATTAAATTCATCAAAGTCTAAACTGTTAAAGTCTCTCTATTACAAGACCACTACATACGCTGAGAGCATTGCCTAATAATGCCACAACAATTTAATATCGCCTCATCTATCTTTTATTTCTATTTCCACTTTTTCATACAGACACTCACTACACTAGATCTTGAATCGAATAAGATCGGAGACCAAGGAATATACTATCTAGCAGATGCATTACAAAGTAACACGGTGATCTCTATTCGTCTTTCATCTATCTCATATCACTATTTCCACTTTTTCATACAGACAATCACTACACTAAATCTCGAATGGAATGAAATCGAAAAGCAAGGAGCACAACATCTTGCTGATGCATTACGAAATAATAAAGTGACCATCATTCCTTCTTTATTTGTCTCATATTCCCGTCTTTCATTTTTTGTACAGACACTCACTACACTAGATCTTCTATCGAATAATATCGGAGACCAAGGAGCACACTATCTTGCTGATGCATTACAAAATAACACGGTGACCATCATGCTTCCTTCATTTATCTCATATCCACGTCTTCAAATTTTTATACAGACACTCACTACACTAAATCTTGGAGGTAATAGCATCCAAGACCAAGGAGCGCAACATCTGGCTAATGTATTACGAAATAACGCGGTAATTCTCATTCTTCTTTCATCTCTCTCATACTTCCATTTCTATTTTTCAAACAGACACTCACCTCACTAGATCTTCAATATAATCAAATCGAAGTGCAAGGAGCACAACATCTTGCTGATGCACTACTAAATAATACAGTGAGCATCATTCTTCCTTTCTCTATCACATATCCGCTTTCTATTTTCTCACACAGACACTCACCACACTAGATCTTGGAGGTAATGCTATCCAAGAGCAAGGAGCACAACATCTGGCTAATGCATTACGAAATAACGCGGTAACTCTCGTTCTTGTTTCATCTATCTCATATTCCTATTTTCTCCTTTCCATACAGACACTCACCACACTATGCCTCAGTGGAAATGTAATCCGAGAGAAAGGAGCGCAACATCTTGCTGATGTATTACGAAATAACACGGTGAGCATCATACTTCCTTCATCGATCTCATACTCCGATTTTCAATTTTTTATACAGGCACTCAAGACACTAGATCTCGCAAGTAATTACATCCAAGAGCAAGGAACACAATATCTGGCTGATGCGTTACAAAATAACACGGTGCCTCTCATTCTGGTTTCATCTACTTCATATTTCCATTTCCACCTTTTCTTACAGACACTCATCACACTAGTTCTTCGACATAATCAAATCGGCGTGCAAGGAGCACACTATCTTGCTGACGCATTACAAAATAACACGGTAACCACCATGCTTCCTTCATTTATCTCACATCCATGTCTTCAACTTTTTATACAGACACTCAACACACTAAATCTTGTAGGGAATAACATCCGGGATGAAGGAGTACAACATCTGGCTGGTACATTACGAAATAATGCGGTGACTCTCATTCTTACTTCATCTATCTCATACTCCCATTTTGCATTTTCTGACATAGACACTCACCGTATTAATTCTTCATTCAAATCGTATCGGAGACCAAGGAGCACAATATCTAGCTGATGCATTACGAAATAACACAGTGAGCATCATTCTTCTTTCAGCTATCTCGTATTCCCATTTCCACTTGTTTTCTACACAGACAGTTACCACACTAGATCTTCGATTTAATCAAATCGGAGAACAAGGAGCAAACGATCTAGCTCATGCATTACGAATTAATATGGTGACACCTATCCACTCTTTATGTGTTTCATAAACCTGTCTACGTTTTTTTTTGTACAGACACGTAGCATACTCTATCTGCAGAGGAATACAATCAACAGTGAAGCTTGAGAAAATTTGGATAAATTCGGGAATACGGACTAGAAAATGAAGAAATCGGTCGAAACTCATTCCAGTAATTTATTGAAGTATCGATGACGTGTATTGATTAGTGTTCAATGTTTTTTTGTGTGTATGTTTACGTCTCAGTGAGTGTTTTGTATTGCGTGCCATAATTAGAAGTGTGTGTGCTGAGCTCAGAATTTAAAGCCGCAGATGCAATCATGTTTTTTTCTGAAATAATTCTGCAATCGATTTCTTCTAAACGATGGTACATTGAGATGGAACAGTGGCGAGTAAACGTCCATTAATACGGCGTAATTACTCGTTGTATACGAGAAAAACGATTTATTACCTTCTTATATGTCGTTTTTTGCAAATGAACTTTTGATTGTGGTACAAAGTAGATCAAAGAAACTACTACCACATTTAGCTTTTTCACAGACAAAGCTAACTACTTGTCAGCGTTGAAAAAAAAGGAATCATAGAACATTCTAGGGAAAAAATCGTTTGTAGCAGTAACAAAAACGAATGAGCTTCTTCCCAGTGGAACGAGTAGTGGTAAAAAACGTTGAGTAAATATTTTATGAAATCTTGACCTCCACTGACTACAACAGTCTTGTAAAGTACAACGAACAATTTGTAATTTATTTTTTGATTGTACAAAAAGACGAGCACGCCAATGCTCATGAGTACATGAAGATGTGATAGATCTCAAGGATGAATTTACATAAGAAGCCTGCGAACGGATAAGAATCAAGGATTGTATCAAGCTAAACTAGGGTGTTACTTTATTGGAGTTTTTAAAATTTTGTTTGTCCTATTCAAAACACTTGGTGTTCTCAAGGTGGGTGCGGATGTAGGACATGGGAAGTGACTGTAGCGGAGCTTGTCATTCACACCCACACCCACCCTGAAATTGTGGAATCGAGTTTTAGTTGAATGAAATGTCTGATTCTAATGAATTAAATGAATGATCAATCTCTATTTATTTCAATTGAATATACTATCACCATAATCAGATCATCGAAGTTCACTATCTCAATCGATATTTGTTTGTTCTTGAGATTTTTATTCGTCGAAATGCCTATTTTGTAAATGGCAATGTCAACATTCTTTCAAACAAACAGTCTTCTTATGAACTTTATTTGGATTTACTTTCAATCAATGTGACAATTGAACTCGAGGTAATAAAAATCTCTCTGTTGAATAAAAAATTAATGATGAGATCTTCGCATTTGATCTTGTTCGATGATAAAGTGAAGAATGTCTTATTTAACGTTTAATTGTTGTTCTATAGACAAAAGACTAAATAGAATTACTGTATTCATGATTGTTCAATGTAATTCTCTATGACAAGAATTTCCTTAATATCTTTTACCTCAATTATTTCTTATTGAATGGATAAACACTTGTTTGAGAAATCTATTTGTTGAATAAGTTGCTTTAGCTGAATATTGTAATCGAAATTAATGCGCATTGTTGAGAAAAATGGATGTGCATGCCGATGAGCGCATGACACCGAATTACATAAAACTGGGGAATTGCGAAGTCACTTGGCATCTGTTCGAATATAGTACAAGTAAACAACATAATCTCATCTCATATATTATATGATAATTTTATTGGCAAAAACTTGTTGAATTTAAACTAATGAATATACAACAATTGCAATTGAGTATTAAGATTTATTCTAGCTGTAACCGTATAAAGATGTGATATTAAATAATTGAGAAGTTAACTAAGAAATATACCAATATCTCACATACCAATTGACTTCTTATTATGGTTACATCTAAGACTCGAAGATTAGGATAAGTTCAGTAATCTTCAAGTTCATGACCTACTGATAGTGATTTACGGTCATCTTAATGAAATTTTTATTGCAACCAAAACATTTTAGACAAAAATCAGCAATGGCATATCAAAATAAAATGCAACACTCGACTTTGTTTGTACATTGAATGTTTCAAGGAAAACTTATTGACTTTGGATGAAGATATATGTGTGAACGAAGAGTATACAGTAACTCATATACTCATCAACAACATACTCTAGACCAAAAAAAGTAAAAAATTTAGCTATAGAGTTGTTATAGGATCGCTCAAGTCCAATGTGTAAACCGGAAATAATAATTAGACATTTAAATATTTTGAATATCACAGCAGTAGATGCATGATATATTTTCTTGCAAGTATCCTGTTATACTGACAAAGATCAAATCAGAGTTATTGTATGTCGACATTACATAATTCTTGAATTTTATTTGCTAAGAATTTTCTTGTTCCTCTGATTTAAGCATCGAGAGTGATGTGTGTGAATTGGTAATAACGTCAGCGGCAAACTTTACCAATGTTGTGTTGTACGACGTGTCAAAATTTCCACAAAATACCTGTTTTATCGACTTCTCAATAAGACAAAACACATGTCATGTACAGAACTGTAAAAAAAAAAGAATAATGACAAATTTTGTCTACTTCTTTTTTAAAAAATATTTTTCTATCAAGCAAACAGTATGTAATATGTATTAGTCATTCAGAATAAACTGCCATTGTAATTAGAAGATTAAATTCCAAACATACTATAGTTAACAGTTTTATTTAATTATTTTGTATTGGTGTTGAAAAGAAAAGTTCAAAATGAATATTTTCTGAGTTTAGTTTTTGAAAACTCTCAATTAATTTCAGATGACTGCATTGCTGTCACCATTCAATGGCAAAACGATTGTACTCGAACTTGGTCGCGAAATAGGCTTCAAAGCTAAACAAGAACTGATTAAGTATTTACGAGAACAGCAAGCACGTATTGCATATATGCTTACAGCTAATGTAAGTTGTTGGTCTATATCGCTAAAATATGTTGTTTTAATTCACTTTTTTAAAGACTGATTACATTTTGGTTACGAATAATATAGATAACTATAAGATACGTCGTGCAAAACAGCTCGGTCTACCGTTGATCAATGTTGAATATGTATACGAATATCGGCGTTTGCAGTTGGGTCAACCATCAATCGATATTACTAAATTTATTATCACATCAGTTGACGAACAGGAGAACTTTACGAAGACTGGTACTATCGTGGTTACAGGTGTTAGAAATTCTTTTTTTAAATCTCGAGCAAATGCAGTCAAAAGTAATAAATTCGATTTTAATAAAATCAAACTATGGAATTCGAATGATGCAAATTTACCTCTTTTTGATGAATTGACACTTTGTGAAATAGGCAAATGGGCCATTTTCAAAGTACAATTCTATTCATTTGTAAAAAATAATTATTCTTTTATACTTCTACTCTTTGCAATAGGAAATCAATAATAATTCAAATGTGTTGTTTGTTCTCGAACTCCAAGTCATTCCCGAACAATACTATGATAGAACAACAAGTGATTATCGGCTATGATTTCGTTACGAAAAACAGAGTATTGCTGGCGGAGAACAACAACAAGATAAAAACGTATTGATACAATATGCACTTAGTGATGATCCATATGAACAACAACAATTATTTGCATCTTACTATTATCATGTGGCAACAATGCCACATGTAACAAGAATTCGTGAAATATTATCTGGTAAATTAGGATCAAAACTATTATTACGCGTAAGTACATAAATCATAATAACAAAAAGAGAAGTTAGTTTTCGGAAAAAAATTCTTTTCAGACTTTATTTTCCTATTGTAACGATACACAGATACTCGATGAAAATGTATGTCAATTGCTCGAATCAATTTGGGTAGAATCTATTGGTGATCTGACTAAATTATTGAGCGTGGCACCTGAGTCGACCACTGTCAAAACAGTACACACAATAATTTACTACATTCGCATTAGTTTTTTTTTCTTCAAACTACTAAATAAATCAACGAAGCCGAAGCAGTACTATATGAACTCAAATCCACCAATGATTCTGCTGCTGCACTTCGTTTTTATTCACTTATTCCTGATCGAACACAGTACAATGTTGATATTATAAAGAATCGTCAAATATTGAACGAAAAAATTGACTTATGTCAAGTACATCGATTTCCGTTAGCTATTTCATCTAATCTTCTATTATTTCAGATGCTTCGAGATATGCTTATAGTCAACGAACTAACGAATTGGAATATCAAAGCAGAAATCGAAGCAAAATATCGAGCATTGAACTGTTACATTGAAACATTGGATAGTTCAACATCTAATTTTAAACACGTTGTCAATCTAAGGCTGGGGTGTGGGTGTGGGTGTGAGGTGTGGGTGGGTGTGGGGTGTGGCGTGTGGGTGGGTGTGGGTATCGGTGTTGACTATGACAGTAGAAGAACCTACACCCACACCCACACCCACACACCCACATCCACACCCACATCCATACACCCACACCCACACATCCACACCCAAATTAGCCATCAGCTTCACTTAATGGATTTAGATACTAGCATTTGGGCTGTCGTGATCAGGGTGACAGGAATTTTGCCAATGACGAAAGTCATGTGGACATTCACTGACACACACCTTCAATTTTTGTCAACGTAAGAGTAAATTAAATATGAATGAAAAGTTTTCAACGCCTACAACATGAAGATTTGTTCTTCTATATCGTGACCATAAATTTCATGCACCGTTCTAGATATTTGTTTTTGGAACAATGACTGTCACAACTAGTACTGAAGCACTACCTGCTCTGATCGATGGTGAAGCAATATACCCATCAAGTTAAACAATGTCATCTTATCCTCTAAACCTGCAATACCTTAATTTTTATTTCATCGCAAAATTAACGTTTTTCTTCACGTGTTGTTTAGTCACATCCAAACGAGATGAATATATATGTGAAAGTACGGCTGATAGAATCTCGGTGAATATTTTTTGACATAGTTCCGATAAATGGATAAGAGTTTTGTGTCAAGATTCAGTCAGATGTGAATTTATTGTTATTGCTCTGGCGTTCGTAGAAAAATGTTGATTGCGTCCTCATTCAAATCGACTCTCTGGTTTGATTGATATTGGCGTTCACAAGTTTTAGTGGATACAGCTCATCAAGTTCCATCTACGTACATAAATAGATCGTATATGTCTTTCTTTTGAAACGTTCGCGCAGTTTACAGAAGATCAATTCCATTTTCGGAATATCGTGGGAAAGCCACTATCTCGAGTACGATAGTTTTCCGGTTCAGAATATGACTCTCATGCTCGTGTGTTTTTCCAACGAGTATCTGCAGAAAATTCAGTGAATATGACGAGGAATATGACGAAATAGCATCGTCAAGACTCAATTCGAGCCATAATCATCGATCTCGGTATCAATTATAGTACTGTTACTAATTCTAGATAGTGTTAAGAAAAACACCGAGAACAAAATTCAAGAATTTGACAATAACTGTTTCAATAGTTGAAAATTCATACTATTTATGTTTATTTCCAAAAACAAAAAAGAAACAAAAAATAAGTATTTAGATGTTTCTGAACTTAAAAAAAAAACTATATTTGTATAGATGTTGGTTGCATTACTTTTTTGACTAGGTCATTACGACATAGACAAAGTTTTATGGCTTATTTCTTGGTTTAACCAAGTTTCAGGTGCAGGCTTGAATGATCAAGAAAATTATGCCACTATTGAAATTGCTGTTTTGTTGAAAACGAGTTTTGTGCACTTATTCATTTCTTTATATGACTTTCTTTTGTTTTTTTGTTTTGTGTTATTGACTGCATGCACAACTAGGTGATGGAATTATTTGGTACCAGGATGCAATATATTTTTATTTTCGTAGTCTTTCTCATTCTGTCAGATATATTACGTGAGTATTAGAATTCTTTTTTTCTGGTTCCTAGCATTGATAGTATATGTTGGGTTTACTTTCTATGCCTAGTATACTGTTCATCATATGCGAAACTGTTTTTCCGCTTGTCTAGTATTTGTATGCTTTTGTTTGGCTATGTTTTATCCATTATTTATTATAAAGATCTAATTTTTTTCTTAGCATAGAAAGTGCCGTCTTTTACCACTCAATATTGTGTACTCTTCAATGCATAGGCCTCACTTTGTTTCAATGAACAATCAATATCGGTTTTATTCCAGTATGTTGAATTAATTCTTTCTTTTTTTTCGAAGGCCAATATTTTCATGCTGCATATAAACGTTCTTTAGAATCGAAAGAAAGTTACCCCTCGTTTGACGTTTGTTGCTTCAAAATTCTATTTTTAAAAGGAAATCAAAGTAATGACTAGATGTCTTCTATCGAATTTCAGAATACTGAATTTTTCCCATTTATTTTGAATCGGGGGACATTTAGAGAGATTTCGTGCGAGTTCTTTCGCGGCTTCCAAATCAAAAAAGATAGCTTGTGTATGTATTAGCTCAGTACTCCACATTTCATTCGTGAAAATTGCATTAATTGTCAAAAGAAAGTTTTTCTGTAGCATCACATGTGAGCCCCGGAAACTCAACTGTTTTTCGAATATTCAATTTCGATATCTGAAGAGAGAGATTCTTAATCGAGAATTTGTTCTATTTTGTCTACTTTGCTGAAGCGATTTATTTATAAACTCTCACAGATATTTGAGTATCGATTCTTGAACACTTAAGTAGATACTTAAATTTCGAGCATTATATGTGAATACATCCAAACTCATACTATCTTAGAGCAAAAATCATCGAAACCAAGCTCTAATTACATGTAGTATCATTTATTGTACTCATGAGAATATAATAATCATTATACGAAACTGTATGATACAAAATAGGAATTTCTAAGTTAAAACTACAAATATAGTTTTGCGTTCATACGTGTCATGGAATAGCTGTTGATAAGTTGATCATGATGTATCATCGAGAGTACTTTGCGAACTGATTTATCACTGACATCTTGGAAACATATCAGCGTAATAAAATTAAGATTGCTATTCGTAGTGTTTCTTAATAGAAAAAACTTGACAATGAATTCAAAGTTATCTAGTTCAAGTTTTACATCGAGATATTGCACATATGGGCAGGTACTAATGATAAGTTTAATGTCTTCTAGTGTCAGCTGAAGTGCTTCAACATCAACAGATCCTTTTGTTATCTTGTTGCTGGAGATTATCGTGACAGCATAAAATGGATTAGCGAATCACGTTAGAGAACGAATGTTGGGTGTAATACGTAATAGTTCGAGTAGTCGAGTAAAACCAAGACCATTCCAATCGAAACCTATTCGTGTAAGTGGTGTGTAGATGTTGATCAGGTGTCGTTGCGTGTGTGAGTGGATAAATTGCTAGATCAGACATTAGCAACTCCGCCCACATCCACACCCTCTTTTCGGACCTTAGCATTGATCTTCTAAGAGATAATTTTCTATTATGGGAGAAGTTTAGGTTTTCTTTCTTGTTCAATACTACCATTGTAAATAGAAATTTATATTGAAAAAAAACTTATACTCTTCCACTATATGAAATATTCATATTCCGTGAGACATACATTTTTTTGAAAGAATATTTATTATGCAAGAAAAAAAAAGATAATCCATGGAAAGTGTCAATAGAGAGATTGTTTAAAATGAAAGATAATTAAGTTGCTATGAGAACCATATATGAACTGATAGTTTATCAAAACGATATGTAAAATTAAGTTTTTGACAACATTGTATTTGATCAAAGACAGATCGAATATTGTGACAAGACTTTTGTACTTCTTCTCTATTAGAATAGTGTGGCATGTATTGAAATGATGCTGTCTTTAAATGTTTGAATCGATCGAGGAAATCAATCATTTCTGTTGTTGAACACGCATGATATATATGTAAATGTTCAATGTTTGGAAAAATCATGGATAATTTTTCAATACTATAGATTGCAGTATTTGTGAACGATTCACTTATTGTTAATCTCCGGATATTATTAAGTTTTTTAGAACAAACTCGCTTGAGAAAAATTTTCACCTCTTTTTTGATTGATATTTCACAGAGATTTGGCAGTTCTCTTAATAAATACATCACTGGAAAATTTTTCACCGATAAATTTAAAATCAAATGTTGTATTCGACAAAGATCAAGAATATTTTTTATGGTGGATATACACTGAGGGTAATCGATACCTAGTGTTTGAACATGAGGAAAATAATGATTTGTATTATTTGATATTGCTGATAAAGTTAGTCTGTTAATAGTTTCGTAAAAAATTATATTATCGGATACTGTTGAAAATAGGGGAAACTGGAAATCTTCATCAGCTTCCGTTTGATAAAAGTGTGGTACTGAATAAAGACATCTGCGCCCACAGGCTACAAACCAATGTTTTTCTTCAAGCCAAAATGAGGTACGAAATGAATCAAGATCTTGATATTCTAATGAAACTGATAGGTTAAACATGAAATTGAATGTGACAAGATGCTGTACTATCATTTGCCATCGTTGACCATTGACTACATCACGGTTACAATTAGCAATTAATATCAAATGCTTAAGACGAGGCAAGTCTGACATCATTTCTTCTAGATGATTCATTGAGATATCTGAACCTAAAAATTCTTTTATTATAACGATGATTTAGTATTTTAAGAAACTGACCTTCAATTTCTAGAGCCAGTCGTTTCAATTGAGTCGATGGATAAATAAATTTTGTAGTCGAATTATTAAGTATAAATTTAGTTTGAAGCGAT